TTGAAGCAGGGGTGATATTTGTACCTACGGGTACGAATGTAGAATTTGTTCCTCGCTGACCGTTGTTAACAGCAGAGGAATTTGTACCTGGTCGGAAACGTGGAGCGTTTCCTACCTGTCGGTTAGAACGAGATTGTAGGATCGCTTTGCGAGTCTTACATTCCCAAAAATTGGATTTGTGGTTTTCACCACAATTTGAACATTTAAATTTCTTAGGATCTTCCTTCACAGGACAGTCGTCCTTTGCGTGAGAGGAATCACCACAATTCATGCATTTAACTGGCATGTAGCAATTTTTAGTTCCGTGACCCCATCCCTGGCACTTACGGCACTGGGTGAGGTTTTGGAAATTTCCTCCAGTCTTCCTGAAGTGTTCCCACTTCACTCGGACATGGAGCATAAGGCTAGCTTTTTCTAAGGCCTTAAGGTTGTTTAGTTCACTAGACTTGAAGTGAACTAAATAAAAATCATTAGAAATCCCGTTGCGCGAATCGCCAGGACGGGATTTCATTTTCATTTTGATTACTTGGAGTGGCACAACTCCAAGTAATTTTGCCAGTTCATCTTTGATCTGATCCAGGGATTCACCACTGGGCAGTCCTTTCATGACAACCTTGAACACACGTTCAGTTTTGGTGTCGTAAGTAAAAAATTTGTGCTTCTTCTCAGTAAGATACTTGAGAAGACATTTAAATCCGTCCAAGGTTTCCGCCAATACACGGCATTCACCCCGACGTCCAATTTGTAGTGAAAACTTAACTTTCACGAAATTCAAAAGTTCCATGCGAAGAGCATGGAAATCGGAAGTGGTTATCACAATAGGGGGAATCTTTTCCTTCTTGGCATTAAGCCGGGAAAGTTTACTAGAATTTTTCTTGGATGATGGATCATTCTCATCATCCGTGAGCAAATCAAATTGATTACTCAAATTAATTTCATCAGAAGGGGGGTCAAGAGTTTGCCCCTTTCTTTTGCGTTTAGGCGCCATGGCGGCAGTAAATTTTTATCCAAATCGACTTCCAAGCAGATTACTATAAGAATCTGAAGGATCGAAGAGAAATGTTCCAAATCGATATCCAAGAAGGATTACCTCGGGTAGGGTCCAAACAAGGATCGAAGAGGAATAAGAGGAGTTGAACAAGGTAGAAAATTTTTACAGGTTGAGCACTGAAAAGTGCGATTATGCGATTATCCAAATCGACTTCCAAGCAGATTACTATAAGAATCTGAAGGATCGAAGAGGAATTTTCCAAATCGATATCCAAGAAGGATTACCTCGGGTAGGGTCCAAACAAGGATCGAAGAGGAATAAGGGGAGTTGAACAAGGTAGAAAATTTTTACAGGTTGAGCACTGAAAAGTGCTGTTTAAATTTGTTGTAGCTTTAGGTAGTAGTAACACTTCCTTAAGCAAAAAGCAAATAGATCCGCACGGCAAGAGAGCACGATGCGGACTGACTAAACAAAATTAATATGTTCTTTCGATAGCCGGCTATCGAGAGATTAAATAAACAACAAATAAACAATACATACTTTTGGTTGCATCGCCAACTTGAGGTGAATCCTAACCGAATACCCTACCCAACCCTCCAACTCCATAGCACTTATGAGGGCGTCGCTAAGTCGGTGGCCTCTCGTTAAGTAAGTACTACATCAACATTTCCTTCCCTATCCCTAGTTATGGTCATGGGCGTGGCCGGGAATAGCGACAGTCATGCTTCTGTTACTCTTGTTTAGATTGGAACCAATGTTTACTCCCCAGCATTATTCCTGAAAGTAGTCTAACTGAGAATTTCAGAAGAGACGTGAGTGTCGCTAGTATCCAATCTACGAAGTATATCATAACAACGCTAACGCTAACGTAAATGCCCTCATTGTGACTCCAATTTATATGAATCCTAGAACTTCAAAATTGGCTTAACCGAACTGGAATTTAGGGAACTGTCAAAAAAATTTTGCTGAAAATTCATGTAAAGGGTGTCCACGATGAAATTGCCACACTATGAAATCGCTCTAACTTTTTAACCGTTGGGTAGAATTCAATGAAAATTTGGATGGAATTAGTTCATAGTGCATTATTTACATCCTGCAAGTTTTAAAGTCCTGTGATCAAAACTCGCGGAAATGGAGTCGAAAGAACAGCTCGTGCGTGATAAAATCTTGCGCATTCATCACGAGAACAAGGATCTCTCGCATCGTTCCATCGCTAAAACGTTGGGAATCGCAAATTCCACGGTGTCGCGAGTGATTAAGCGTTTCGAGGAACGGTTGACCACCGATCGGAAGCCCAGAAGTGAAGGAAAAAGTATTCCGTACAACACCAAAAATCACAACCGCGTAGTTGGGGCCTTCAACCGAAATCCGAACGCCTCCGTTAGGGATGTGGCTAAGAAGCTGCACCTAAGCCGAAGTTTTGTCCAGAAGGCCAAAACTAAGGCTGGGCTTCGAACGTTCAAGGTACAAAAGGCCCCTAATCGCGACGAGAAGCAGAACAAGTCCGCCAAAACCCGTGCCAGGAAGTTGTACCTCAACATGCTGACGAAAGTTGAATGCTGCATCATGGACGACGAAACATATGTGAAGGCCGACTTCAAACAGATCCCCGGCAACCTGTTTTTCACGGCCAAGGATAAGTTCAGCGTTCCGGAGCATGTCCGCACTCAGAAGATGTCCAAATTTGCGAAGAAATTCCTGGTTTGGCAAGCCATCTGCACGTGCGGGAAGCGGAGTGCACCTTTCGTGACCCAGGACACGATGAACGGACAGGTGTACATAAAAGAGTGCCTCCAGAAGCGGCTGCTTCCTCTCCTGAAGGCCCACAACGTCCCAACAATCTTCTGGCCGGATTTGGCCTCATGCCACTACTCCAAGGACGTGCTGAAGTGGTATGCGGACAATAAGGTCAATTTCGTGCCGAAAATGTTCAACCCTCCCAACACTCCGGAGCTCCGCCCCATCGAGAAGTACTGGGCGATTATGAAGCAGCACCTTCTTAAACGACCTAAGGTAGTGAAGATAGTCGAGGAACTGAAGAAAGTATGGGTTTACATGCAAAAAACGGTTGATTAACAGGTTGTGCAGAATCTTATGGCCGGGGTTAGGGCCAAGGTGCGGGCATTTGCGTATGGACTGTAAATAAAATACGAGTAAAATGGTAAAATGAAGTTTAATAGTTATTTCTCAATCCCTGAAAATTTGTTGGCAATCGGATGAAAACTCGAATTTTGCGAATCAATTTTGTGTGTGGCAATTTCATACGGATTTATCAAATTTCGAAAAGGTTTCATATATTGAAGTTGTTAGTCAAGCTTAATAGACCAGCGTAATTTTTAAAATCTTTAAAAATAATCTGACTTTTAAATCATGCTGTGATCAAAATTGTACTTGAATAAGATCCTGTTGGTTGTAATTTTTGTTGCCCATATCGGATAGAAATTTTTATTATTAGAAGTTTGAGGAAACATTAATCAAATTTCCAATCAAATTGATTAATTTTTTTTCCAAAAATTCATCAAAGTAAATTTAACTTTTATCGAAGACTACAAATCAAGAAGACTAGCAACTGTTCCCTTCTGTCTCCCATACAAATGTCAAACGTCACTGATAAAAGCGCCTCTGTCAATCAAAGGTGGAACTTTGAAGCACAAGTGTTAGTGAGACTGCTCATTAACAGTGACTGTGTGGGTGACCTAATATCACCGAAACGAATAATCATAACACGGTACTCGTTGTTGTTTTTGTTTTGCTCTACAAAAGCAATTTGTATCCTAATCCCAGCAAGCCGGTGGTTTTCCAACTCCAAATCGAAAAACTTGTCATCGTGGATCAAGTATAGGATTGAAACTCGGATCGATACCTAGCGAAAGTAACTTTTACTTGTGAACGAGGAACCGAAATATTGTTTATTTTGCCTGTTGGAAGCAATCAATAATAAAGAATTGGCAGCTTCCATCACCATTGTGTGAACAACTGTCATTCGGAAGCTGCTGAAAATTTAAAGATTCAAAAAGACGAAAGATCCGGTACCCACATCACGATCCAATGGAAGGCGTAGCAGGATCTAATGTTGGAGAAAATGAAAATGAAAGGTTGAAGGACTACAATCCCAATGTTGCCAGCACATGAAACCACCGGATAGTGATCCTCTGTATGCTTTAACAATTCTTGGAATCGACCGACCCCTTCCAGAGAATGATAACAACAGTGTTGGATTGGCCAGTGACATTCAAATGGGCAGCGAGTACTGGGCTAAGTTGCCGATCGTCACAACTCGAGGAAGGTCCCACCATCATTGCCATAGTTTTTTTCAATTCAAAACAATTTTTCTTACGGATCTGTTCAATTTCAGTTGGAATGTTACTCGTTGTCAGCATAAAACAAAGAAAGAAACGTTTCACTTTTTACGACAATCATAACAAAACCAATAATTGACAGCTATTTGTTTCTACCTATGTGTGTGAATGCACTCGTGAATTAACACACACCATCATACACAGGTTCCACTTTTGCTCAGAAGAGGCGTTGCCGTTACTGTCTCCTGATTTTTGGCAGAGTTGCCAGTCTACTTGATTTGTCGTCTTCGCTTTTATCCTTCACTCTAAAATTCGATATAATGACCACCTATTCAGTCCGATAGCGTTCGGTTAGCTGATCTTCCATTACCCAAAAATAATGGGATATTGCAATCCAATCAAAACTTTCTGTTTTTTTGCTAAATATTAAAAGTCGGGAATTTTTTTGAAATTTGAGCCAGGAAAACTGGGAACTTCAAAATAAACATTAACTGGCTACCCTGGGCTTGATTTTATAGTGTTGAAGCTATTTAATGGTTTTTCAGACTACCCTGGCGGCCGTTATACATTTTGAATGCTTTTTTGGCGTATTCGGTCTTATAACACCTATCTTCAATATTGCTGGGGGTCCAGAAGCTTATGGATTTTCTTGAGAATCGCTGACTATCAGGTTCGAATACTATGAGTTAACTGGTGCATTTTTTTTCCAGCATGGAGTTCCGCTCGAATTCCAACCAAAACCCGGACCGGGACCACACAAGGTTCTCATCGCATCCGAGGAACAATTCAAGGTGTTCTCCCTGCCGCAGTTGAAGCCGATCAACAAGTACAAGCTAACGGCGCACGAAGGAGCGAGGTAAGACTGCGTCACTTATGCCTTTGCCAGGCGAAATAGTCCGTAACGTTCTGTGTGCAATTCTATCAACAGAGTTCGTCGTATCGCTTTCGCTACCTTCATGTGCACCCTGCCGGCACATCACCCGCAGGCAAGTCCATCAAAGTCCGGACCAAGGTCACCTGCCGCCGAATCTGCGACAGCATCTGGTTCTCCATCAGCCGAAGCGCTGAATGCAAGCACTACCGATTCTGCGCCGGCCCCCGAAGTAGCGAAACACTACGAGATCAGCCTGCTCTGTCTGACGAACCTCGGTGACTGCTTGGTCCTGTCGATTCCGGAACTGAAACGCCAGCTGAATGCCGCTGCCGTACGGAGGGAGGACATCAAGTATGTTTTCAGGAATTTTTTTTCCAGAGTTCTTAATTAAACTATGAACCTATTTCAGTGGAATTTCGTCACTTTGCTTCACAAACCACGGCGAGGCGCTGTACATGATGTCCTCGTCCGAGGTGCAGCGAATCACCATGTCCACGTCGAAGATTGTTTCACCAACCGGTTACATCGAGCTGGAAGATTGGTCTCAACCCGAGCAGGAGCAAGCAGAACAAGCCGTTGAAGCTGAAGAAACGCCTGCGACACCGAAAGCTGACGAAAACGCTGCCGAGAAACCGATTGATGCACCTGCGACGCCTTTTTCGGTTGCCGTTACTTCTTTCAACGGAACTGGCACCGGTGCCGGTGGGGAGGGCCTCACCAACGGTGTCGGCAGTGGAGATGACGCCTCACCGAACAAGGCAAACGAAACCATTACCAGCTCCATCGGGGACATTACGATCGATTCGGTTCGTGATCATTTGAACTCGACGACCACCACCCTTTGCTCGACTACCACCGAGGAGATTGTCGGTATGTAGCAGATGTAATCATATCACATATAAATAACAGCTAATTGTCGTTCCGCCGACAGGTCGCCTTTCTGTACTGAGCACGCATTCGAATAATGTGGCTTCCTCGGCGAAAACCACCGATATCACCACTCTCAACTCTTCCAACATCAAAGATTTGAAACACATTGGGTATGTTGCGACTCAATCTTACAAGTCACACATAAAAACCTCTTTCCCCCGCAGTGACTCCACGGAAACGGCAGCCAACTCGATGGTCATCAAGTCGGTCATCACGACCATCAAGCACGGCAGCAGTCACGTCAACGGAGAGCACAATTCGACCAGCACGACGGAGAACTCCAAGACGGTTACCACCGGAGGGAGCGTCGTTGGTGGCACGACGGTTTCTTCCCTGCTCCGAAAGGAGAGCCAGTTCTAATGAGATCGAACGAACGACCGAACGAAAAAAGTGTGAACGCAGTTCGTAAGATATGATGATGATCGATCGACGACAAGGAACCGGTTTGCTACTACCTATGACCACACCACACAGAGGACGACCGCCCGACGAGACGATTGTTGTCGTTGTGTTTAAGTTTGAGCTAGTTTATTAATATTACGATTATCACTTTTATCGCGACAGACAGACATTCGCTAATAGACAGGTAAGTATTTTATTCGATTTATTCTAGAAATGTCCACAACGTGCGTTCGTGTGATGTTTTCCAAAATTAATATGTACTTGACACACGAAGCAGGGTGTACTTAGAACCTGAAGGCAGAGAGCGTTTTCCTTGAATTCCCATGGAAAACCATCGAAAGCATTTAAGCAGCGAAGAAAAAAACAACAAACACAAACTAAGAACCGTAAATGCCTAACAACGTACACATTACAGGACGAATCTGCCTTCGTTTTTTTAGAACTATACCGATTTTGGTAACTGTGAATCATAATATGTTAATAATTTAATTTCTAGCAGTTTATCGAATGTTGCAAGATTTCCGAATGTATTTTAACCCTTACCGAGCAGCAGCAGCACCACCCCCTCCCGATAAGAACGTCATTTGCAGTTGATTCGTAGCTAAATCGAATTTCGTAATGATCGACGCGTTAAAGTATTACTATTTTACCCCCATCCAAAAGCAATGATCGTTTTGCTGAGATGTGAAAAAACACAATCAACCTTTACACAAACAAAAAATCGGCAAGGGGGGGAGAAGACGTAAAACAATGAAAAGCAAACGACGGTATTTATATTATTACTTAAAAACAAACAACAAAACAAAACCTAGCTGTAGTCGTATTTTGGATGCAATTTACATGCGTAAAATCAGAGAGAAAGTACTATTAAGAAGGTTTACTTTCGCCGCAAGCAAGCAGAGAATGAATAAATGTCTTATTAAGTTTAGTGATGTAACACGCGCGGATGGGTGTTTGCTGTGCTAAAACAATTCGAACTGGGTGCCCCTCCCCCCCTCCATTGTCATCTTCGCTGGTAGTTGTTTTCTCTAATTCTAGTACTTTTGGTTGATTTCGTAGTTTCTTAGCTGTTACTCCTGTACTGGAATACAAGTGGGTGCTGTTTCTGGCTTTCGCTTGCTTCTTCTCATTCTCTGTTCTATCCTGTTCGGTACGAAATGGACGGATTAGGAGGTGGCACAGAAAAAGAAGAAGTGTTACTTTGTTGACGAAAATTAACTACACTCAAAGATAAATTAAATCATAAAAGCTTAAAAAGTATGCAGTTTCCCGCTTCACCTTATTGAGTCCGAGCCATGATTACTTCGGCAATAGTCATGCATGATTAAAATCGAAATAATCTTTCCAGTATTAAATTTTATTCTTTTTGAATACTGATGTATAATCAAAAAAGATTAAAATTCAATCAAAAATTATTAAAATAGAATCTAAAATGATTAAAATTTATTCAAAAAAAGATAATATACAATCTAATCAACCATGATTAAACTGGGATTAATATCAGATGCTTATTTTTTAATCATTCGATATGATTAAACTGAGTTTAATGTCAAATTGATTAAATTTCAAGCAAAATGGGAATAGTTCAATTTATCAGTGTAGGTATGAGTATTTCGTATAGGTAGCTCCTCGTGTTTTTTTCGCGAAATTCATGTCAAAGATTGATCACTTGCGTAGGAAATCATTTTGGTTAGGCATTTGTTAGTTCTTTGCCGTTTGTGTTCATGAAAAGTTCACTATTTTGCCATAAGAGACGCCACAAAAATGGACGGATATGGACAGGTTTGGACCTGTTTCATACGACCGGAAGGTATATGCTGGTCACAAATGTCTTACTAAATTGATTTCCTGCGCAAGTGATCAATAATTTTCCGGAATAAACACGAGGAGAGTATTTATTATACAAAAACTTGCCATACGAAATAATCATCGTTCATTTTCGTCTTATTCTTTCTGTATCACCTTTGTATTAAGCACCTCGGGTCCGGTACCTCTAGCTACCATTTATATGTACGTACTGCTATCCAAGCTGCAACCGGTCCTATATCTGCCCTGTTGTTGCTTTTCTGGCTGCCTCCGTGACTTTCGCTTGTGACAGAAATTCCCCCATTACATCTTGCATAAGAAACATTTGTTTTTAATCCCGTCATACATTAAATTCCCCTTCCGATTGAGAAATTGAAGCGAGGAGGGAATCTTCTTTTAATGTTAATATTCACACCTTGTATAACTGTTTGCCTTTTGATGCGCAACTCCTCAGGACAATTCTTTCGGATGGAACGTTTAACTTTCCCGTATTTTCCCAGTCCCTTGTCCTACGAGCCATAATTCACCCAACAACACGTGAGTACGGTTACGACGCTTCACCAGCGCCATCGCGCTAGCCTGCTGCAAACCATTTCTCCGTGCAGTGTGAAGTGTGAAGGCACACGTTATCGGCAACTGACGCTACCGTTCATCGAACGGCCATCCGGCTGAAAGCCAATTTGACGGTAGAACGGCGGGCATTTCCGGCGGTCGACAATTTGGTCGCGTTCCAGACGCGTAGTGGGCGCGCTAGCTATCGGCCATACTTCCGAACGTAACCTCGGCAGCAAGGCTGCGGCCATTGCCATCGATCGATAGCCCGACTGCACTCTAGTCGCACAGTGGGCGTTCTAGCCACTATTCACCGATCGGTCATCCGGCCGAAAGCAACTTCGGCAGCGCTGTGAGCGTCTACGTCGATCGGCCACATGACCGTACTCCATCAGCGACCGTCAACACCAGCCACCGACAACACCATTATTCACCGAGTAGCCGTCTATCGTCAGCAGTAAGCAACTGAGGTTGCGTACCAAGGTCAGATTAGAGCATTAGATTAACGAGAAACCTTTATATGTACACACTACTAATCCTCTAACTCAAAACCACACATGTGTAACCTAGAAAGATATACGGCAAAGCCAATGAATAGAAGTCGATTTCATCTAGTTACCTATTTTTAACTCTACAAGCTTTTGGTGACGTTAGTTGTTTGGTTTGAGAGTATTTTGAGTTTGGCCCCGCGATCGTTAGACCCGTTAGAGCTAGCTGGGTAGACTTTACAACGCGCATTTCCGCATCACGTGTTGGCGCTTAAACGGATTGGTAATATATTAGCTTAGGGCAGTGGTTGCATCTGTCCGTACCAGAAAGGCAATCTCATTTTGTCAGTTGAGTTCCGTTTCTGTTGCGTGGTTGAGATCTGTTCCACTTCTGCTACCGATCCCTGTGTGCAGGATATCAACGGCACAGGCGTTCCAGAAAAGAACTGTAACCTATAATTTAAGTGACCACATATTAAGATTTAAATCAATAAAACCTAATATGTGGTAACTTAAATTATAGGTTGTTTTTTTATCTAGTTCGTTTATTTGGAAGGCTCAATCGCGTAAGCTTTACGGAGCCGATAGTACATTGTTCTTTGTTTGTAACAAAATTCACTTAATTCTACACGGGAGAAAATTAGTTCCAATATTCGTGAACCACAGCCGAGAACCATTTCACGGTGTATATTTGAATGTTGTATAGCAACGTGTCACTTCACCAGTGTTCAAAATAGTCAAGTTGAAAACGCCACATAAATCGTTAAAAATAGCCGCTCTATTGTCATCGTATAGATCGCCCCACCCAGTACCATGGGAGTTCATATCACCTAGAATTAATACTGGGGATGGAAGAATCGAAACTAGATCCCAAAGTTGACTACGGCTAATGGAGGTTCTCGGAGGAACGTATACTGAAGCTATGCAAAGATTTTTCTTCTTCACATTTATTTGGCAAGCGATGATTTCGACGCCTGATAGAGTTGGAAGGGAGATTTTGTAGAAAGGGTAGGGTTTTTTGATCCCTAAAAGTATTCGTCCATAAGAATCGTCTCTATCCAGGCGTACAATGTTAAAATCGTGAAAGTTGAGTTCTTTATCGGAAGAAAGCCATGTTTCAGAATTGTGATAACGGCAGTTCCACTGTAGCACAGTGATCGTATCTTCAACCTCGTTCGACGAATTATCCATCGAAAGATATGATTGATGCAAGGAGTGGCCAGGAAACAGTCAATTGCTTAAGATATGCTTCTAATGTTGGAAGCAAGGCAGAAACTTAGCTTCTTAGAGGGTACGTTGAACATATTTAATATGAATTCCACAATATCTGAAAAAGCTAGCAACCCTCGTTCGAACTTGGATTTCTTTTGAGCAGTTTGAGGAGCAGCTTTTTTGTTTTTCTTATCTTTGTTGGATAATGGTAGGAAATTCCTGCTGCAGCCAGGGATTGAATCAGCAGGAGCTTTCTTACGGTGCACTTTCGAGGAGGGAGATGTCTTTTTTGATCCCTCATCGAATGAGTCAGAGCCCGTTTCTTCAGCTGACAAAATTGAAAATTGGTTTTCATCTTGGACGGCTGATGCAGCCTTCACCATTTGTGCATATGGCTGCTTGGAGCGTCCAGAGATTGAACGTTGCATTTTATAGGAGTGCTGCTTGAACCTACTTCGTGCACTCCTGCAAGGCTCTACGGAGATGAACTAGCCTACGGCTAAAAATATCCTAAATAAAGAAAACAAAATCCTGCAAGGGGTGATGATTTTCGCCACAGTACGCGCATTTTACTGATTCTTTGTGGCAAGAATCCCCTTTGTGGTTTTCACCACATTTGCCACAACGTGTTTTGTTATCGCAATGGCTGGCCGAGTGTCCCAGCTTTTTGCAGTTAGTACAATTATATACCCTCGGTACAATCAAGCGCACCGGAAAACAAAGTTTGCGAGAACTGAACCAGCGAAATTCACCCGAAACGATAAATTTTTTTTACCGTCTAGCAAATATACTGAATGCAGTTGCCTTACATCCAGTATCGTCACTTAAAACTACCCGAGGCACGTTTCAAGTCCTCGACAATCAGACTTGCGTCGGAGACCACGCCTTCTATCTCCACGTCTCGAGAAAGGATGTAGATGTTATGCTCAACACAAACAGCTCGTGTTCAGCAATTTTTTTTGCCCCATCATAAGTCGGAGAAAATCTTTCGTAATGTCGAGAGTTCTCAAAGGTTTGTTTTTGCGCCGAAAAAAGACAACCCATGGTTCTTACGAAGACAGTCATTTCATTATGTCTAAAGTAACATTCGCACCGATCCGCGAAAAAAAAAACAAATTTTGTTTTGATGACCGAAAAGTTATGCCTATTTCCAATTAAACACATAGGGGTATGGAGTCTCCATACACAACTATAGGAACCTAACGCTTCTAACGTACCGCAACTATAGGAGCGTTTACCCTATAATCTCATAGTGATAGCATTGTTTGACATATTAAGTAGGGTTTTAATCATACAAAGCAGATCGCTAGCTTTCATGCTAAAAAATACTGGTTTTTGAGCCCCATTCATCATTTTAGAACCACCGAAATCATCTTATCAACAAACAGTTCGATTTATTCACTTTAATCATGAGAAAGTGAAACGGCGAACGTACACTTTTCACCTTTCGGGTTTCTCTGCGCTGTTACTTAAGACAAACGGCATCTCCATAGAAATCGGGTGACTTAAGTAACATCGAAAAATATTTTGATCGCAAGGTGATTACGTCAAAAAGCAATTTATCTGGTAAATAAGTTTAAAAATGGGATGTGTGTGTGTGTGTGTGTGTGTGTGTGTGTGTGTGTGTGTGTGTGTGTGTGTGTGTGTGTGTGTGTGTGTGTGTGTGTGTGTGTGTGTGTGTGTGTGTGTGTGTGTGTGTGTGTGTGTGTGTGTGTGTGTGTGTGTGTGTGTGTGTGTGTGTGTGTGTGTGTGTGTGTGTGTGTGTGTGTGTGTGTGTGTGTGTGTGTGTGTGTGTGTCTGTGTGTGTGTGTGTGTGTGTGTCTGTGTGTGTGTGTGTGTGTGTGTGTGTGTGCGTGTGTGTGTGTGTGTGTGTCTGTGT